AGCAATAATTGGCATATATTTTTTCGAATCTGGAAGCTAGCCGCTGCTTAGAAATTATTTTTCCCCAGAAAAAATAATAAAAAAAGACAAAATAAATTGCTTAAAAGTTATATGTTTAACTTTCGATGTAGTTTTGCTGGCTGGAACGGCGTCGAAGCTTCTCCTTCTGTCAGTTTTTGCCTTTTTCGATGATGGTCCAAGTGGGGGTGGAGAAGACGGTTAAGGTTTTCGGCTAGCAACCTGAAACAATTCATCTAGATTTGAAGCTGCCACTAGCTCCGAGTTATCTGCCCGGGCCGGCCCGTTTGAAACTATGAAAACCATAAGCAGCTTGCAGTTTAGGCTCCGCCCACTTTTCCCGAAAAATGTTTTTTTCTAAACTTTTCAGGAATTCCAAAGTCGAAAACTTCGAATTTTCAGCTATTTTTAGACGTTTGAGATTGTTTAAAAAAGGGGCGGAGCCTAATTTTGGGAGCGCTATCTTTAAAAAATTGGTAAATAGCCTAAAATTGGAAATACTATGTCGACTTGGGATATAGCGGGAAATTTTTCAAAAGAAGTGGGCGGAGCCTATGGGAAAGACCCTTCCCGCAATTCCAAAGTCCAAATTTTCGAATTTTCAGCTACTTTTTAGAAATTCAAGATTGCTGGAAAAGGGGGCGGAGTCTAATTTTGAAAGCTTCGAATTTCGTAAAATTTAAAATTAAACGATTGATAGATAGCTCGAAAGTGGGCGGAGCCTATAAGTTGGTGACCCTTCCAGCAGGACACCCAAAAAAAGGCGCCAAATTCAAACCTTTTGAAACTTTTGCCCAAATTTCCTAGTGGCCTAGAAATAGAGAAAGTTAGACCACTAGAAAGCTAGTCCAGGGGCTCCAATTAACCCTTAAAATGGAGTTTGAGCTTTAAAACAGGTTTTCAGTTTTAATGTTTTACTAGAAATGTGCTAAAATCGATTTAGTAAAAAATTTCAAAAAGTGGGCGGAGCCTATTGTGGCCCAAAAACATTGATTTTTCAGCTATTTTTAGGCTTAAAAATGCGCCTAACATAAAGATAAAAAACCTACCATATTGGGCGAAATATAGTTTGGCACATAAACCGCCGTCGTCTCATTCTTGATCATATTCGTCAGCGTTGGCAATTGAGCAGCCAAAAGCAGCGCGTGCGGATTAATAGTTGTCTGTGTGGTCGTTGGCGCCGAAGACGTGCCCACCGCGGCGGCCGCTGCAGCAGCCGCCGACTGAAACAGACTTGCCGCGGCAGCCATTGGTCCCGTGGAGTTGAGATGTCCCGTGGAGACCACGGCACGAGCATAGGCCTCTTGCGCGGCGGCCATCGTCGCCTCGTTCTGCTTTTTCTGGAGTTCCTCTTTTTGTTGTTGTTCGAGACGTTTCGCCGCCGCCTCTCGGTCCGCCACTTGTTTTCGAATTTTTCTCCGGAGATTTGTGTCAGACACATTGCCAACGATGTAGACTCGATTACGTTCAATCTCCTGGGGATCAATTCCATAGAGTTGGATTTCCTCGGCTGTCGGTGGAGTGTGGTTATGGTCGTGGATATAGGTAACAATCTTTTCACTCTCAATATCTGTGTGCATTCTGGCTTTACACGTATTCTTGTACTCGCATCTCCAGAAGTGCTTCTTTCGGCATGAGGAAATTTTATCAAAAGTCATAAAATAGCCATTTGAGAAGACCTTCAGACGAGCCTTCTTGGTGCCTTCGCCTCCTGGAGAGCTGGTTTCCGATTTTCCAGTTCCAGCTGGATTCAGAGATTGGAACAGTCTGGCCAGTGCGATCGATGGATTCTCGCCGTTCGTGTTGCCGGAGATCAGGGCTTGGAGGGCCGCTTGGTTTTGCTGAAGAAGAGAGAAGATTTATGGGAGGAAATTATGTCAAAAAGCTCTCAAAAATAGGGGAAGAAGCGTACTTTTTCAAAGAGAAGAGGGGGGCGCGTCAGGCGGGAATTTGAAAAGAAACAACTAATAGGAGCGGGGCTTAATTGAAGTAAGAGTGGACTAGTTTTCTATATTTTTAGGCTACAAGGAAATTTCGGAAAACTTTAAATTTGGCACCTTTTTTTCCGGTCTCCCCGTAAAAAAATGAAGGGGTTTCAGCTGGAAGGGCTCACTAGCTTATAGGCTCCGCCCACTTTCAAGGCAGATTTTTGA